GCCTCCTCTCAGCAGGAACAACTTCCCCGCAGGTGGCGCAACGGCCCCCAGATGGCTGTGGATGGGCACTGGGTGCCCCCAGAGCCACCCCAACCCTGAGCCACGGACTCATCCCCATGTCTCAGGCCTCTCTGCTGCGCCAAGATGCCCTGCAGTCCCGGAACATGATGACACCACAAAGCACTAACGCTGCCATCAATCAGCAAATTAATAGATTCTGCTAATTTGATAGTTGTGCTCAAACTAACGGTTTATTTGACTGTCCTCATTAGGGGCTCCTGGCACAAATGTGGCTAAAGAACAAAACAAAAGCTGCAGATCACACTGCTCTGAGAACAAGAATAAGCCAGGGCTGTCGTGCCTGGCCCAGGGGCGAGGACCGAGGCCAGGCTGGCCGCTGCCCACTCCCACGGAGGGTGCAGGGACACTGCCTCACCGCTGGGGACAGGCCGGGGAAGCACCTGGCCTGCCATCTGCTCCCACCCGCTGCCTTCCCACCTCACCATCCCCACAGCCTGGAACACCGTGGCTGGACGGGGGGCTCAGCACAGCTCCCTGCAGGGCCCCGCGTTCCCGCGTCCCTCATGCTGAGGAGTTCCTAGCCGGTGACTTTCCAGAAAGACAGGCTCACTGCTCCATGTGCCAAGGCTGCTTTTATTTTAGGCGCCTTGACAGACAGCTTTCTAAAATGAGCAGTGCTTTTTGTTTTTTGACACAGTAGTAATGAGAACTCTGAAAGGACTGGCAGTGACTGTCGGGGGGGAGCGCCAGCTGGGAGCCCTGGGGGTGGCACTACGGGGCGATCGAAGCTCTCCGGGCACCTCCTGACCCGCGCTACTCCAACACCTGGGAAGCAGGCCCGCCGCAGCGGGGGTCACAGGGCCTCAGGTGTGTGCTCTGCCAGGGTGCGACCCCTCCCAGCAGACCTGGGCACCCCCAGGAGGCCACATCTGAGGCAGGGATGCCTCACTTTTTTTGTGGGGGTTCCTTTCCCCCACTGTTTGGGGGTACCAGGGTGAAAGCGAAAAAACCGAACACAGGAAATTTCACACCGAGCCTGCAGAATGCTGGGGTCCCCTGGTCTCACAGGATGTTTACCAGTGTGGAACTACCGGCCACCCAAGGTGGGTGCTCACTCTGGGCACCAGGGTGGGGCAGCTGGGGTGCACCGGGGCCCCATGGCTGCCTGCAGGCCACCTGGGAGAGCAGCGGCGGGAGCCGAGAAGCGCCCCTGCCTGCCCCGAGCAGGACCAGACGCGCAGGTGGCTTCTCGTTAGTCCTGGACCGGTCGGCCTGTGGCCCAGGGCCTGGGATCGAGCATTCCCTCCCTCCCCACTGCACTGCCCACCGCCATCCCAGCAGGGCACGGGCGCCCGGTCCTCAGATTCCGTAAGCGTGCACCTCGGGGGACAGTCACTACTGTCTTCCTGTCAGGGCAGTCCACCTTCAATGTTTTTGTTTTACACTTTTTCACAACCAAGTTGTTTTTTGTTCAACATTGAAGATGTGGAAAAAATAGGCCTGGGGCAAAAAAAGATTTCTATTAACTAATTTAGTGGCAGCCCAGGTTGGGTCCTATTGTGCTGGAAGCTAATGAGACTCCACTGGGAGATAAAAGCCACCCTCCTGAGCGGGCGGGCGGAGGCCAGGGAAGGGCACTAATGCTCTGGAGAGGAGGACGGGCCACCAGCTGAGTGGGCAGCTTGGGGGACTGAAACAAAGCTTGCGGAGAGATCAAAGTGGATGGGGACCCGAGCGAGGCGGGGAGCGGCGGGGAAGTAACAATGAATCCTCGGACAGGGACGGGCAGGGACAGGGGCAGGAGGAGGCGAGGGTTCGCATCTGCAGGACTCTGAGGGTGCGCACGGCCCACGCTGCTCTGCTCGGGTAACATCCTCTCGCCTCTCGAGGGCAGGAGGACAGGGGCTCGTTCGGAAGACCTTGAGCCAGCTGCCAGTCTGTGCTGGCGAAGGGGCTGCCAGTCAAAACAGTCTCCCCAAGCTCCGCTGCACAGTATGCCAGGAGTGCTGACAGCCTGGCTCCCAAGTAGGGGACCGGCTACTTCAGGAGGATCCCGGGTGGGAGGGGGTAAAGTCTGCAACAGTGCGAACCCCACGGAGCTGAGCGGCCAGTCAGCCTGACCAGGTCGGGGAGCAGGGGCCTGTTCTGGCTCCAGCCTTCTGCAGCAGACAGAGCTGGGGCAGCAGCAGGCCCTCTCCTCCAGGGAGGGAACCCCGGCTTCCCGACGCTTGCCCAGCCCCGGCACCCAGACCCACCCTGCGCCTGGCACCCTGAGCACCAGCCCTGCCCGGCTGGGTCTGGGACCCAGGCGCCCGACTTCAACCCCACTGAGCCTAGGGGAAGCGGGCGGACAGCAGGCGACATCGCCCACCTAGAAGCAACGCACAGTGCAGAAAGGGGAGTGCCCAGCAGCACCGTCTGCTGCTCCATCACCCAGGGCCTGGGCTCATGGTGCCCCGACAGCCTGGGACATGGGGTGACAGAGGACCAGAGGCAGGCGGAAGGCTCGGGGGCAGACATCAGGGCTGGAAGGTCTTCCAGTCTGCAGCAGGCTCCTGCCCAGTGCTTCAGGCTTCACCTTGTGCTCTCTTCCTTTATCCACGTGGGAAATCCGATTCGATTTGAATGAATTAACCCTGCCAGAGTCTCTTCAGGGCTGCATCTCTGTGCTGGGAGGGTGATGCTTACTGGAGCCTCTGAGCAGGGCAACTACTAAAGCCAGACGATCCAGCTGCAGTACTGGCCGTGTATAGCCCCGAGGACTTTCTCCGCTAAGCCAGGGCAGCTGGGCCTCTGACTGGATTAATAAATAGGAAAGTTAAGTACCCAAGTGTTTAGAAGTTGCTCACTTAAGAGAGACCCATATTCTGGCTCCCTAGCCAATGCCTGCTTGCAGGTGAAGAACGGACTCTCTTGGACCCGTGGGATAGAGGGAACACTCAAGGCAGAAAGATCAATCCTGGGCCAATGGATGTGAGGCTGGGACCAGGGCCAGGTGGTCCTGCAGGCTGATATGCCCCATCCGGCCACCCATCCCCCACGTCAGCCCCACCCCCTGCTCTTTAAAAAAGGATAGCAGGCCGGGTGTGGTGGCACACGCCTATAATCCCAGCACTCAGGAGGCTGAGGCAGGATGATTGCTGTGAGTCTGAGACCAGCCTGGGCTACACAGTGAGTTCCAGGTCAGCCTCAACTACATAGTAAGAACCTGTCTCAAAAAGAAAAGAAAAGAAAAAAAAAAAAAAAAAAAAGAAAAAAAAAAAAACCAAAAAAAAAAAAAAAAAAAAAAAAAAAAAAAAAAAAAGGACAGCAACCCCAGGGGTAACACTGGTGCCCACCGCTGAGCTGTGAGCTGCCTTCATGAGGCACCCAGTCTCTGGGCCGGCAGGAAGGGGTGGGGATACGGCTCAGGAGGAGGAGCAGGGGGTCCAGTGTCAGCACGGCAACGCACTCTTGGCCGGAAACCCGCAGCTCAGTGATCTCTCAAGGCTCTGAGCACCAGCATGGGGCAGCTGGGCCAGGCGTGTACGACTTGCACGTGACCACCATCCTCACAAACTGAAGAAGCAAAGGTGGCCGTCACCACGTGGAGATCGGCCTGGAGCCGGTGTCTCCCCAGAGCCCTGGGCTCACCGTCAAGGTCAGGGCTCTGGGAACCTCTGGAAGGAGCATGTTCCCTGCAGGTGCTGAGTACAGACCCCATCCAGTACGTGGCCAGCCGCACCACCGCGGAGGCGTCACAAGTGCTTCTCCCACGGAGAGAGGAGCCGTGATGCCCAACTCGGGATGCTGTGAAGCCAGTCCTGGACGGTGCTGGGGGCCCAGTGGGGATGGGGAGCAGTGGAGGGAGCAGGGATCGGGTTATGACTGTGCAGCCCAGGCGCTAATCTAGGCCTGGATTTGTGCGCCACAGGCTCAGCAGCCTGGAGGCTCCAGAGGAGGAGCTGGGGCCCACGGCACTGGGATTACTAGATGGGATCAGTACCCCGTCCGCTGGTGAAGGAGCCATCTGTGTGGCTGTGCAGGGCTCAGGACTGTCACCGGCCAGGCTGTGCGGTCGTCAGGGCGGGAGAAGCAGGGAAGACATCTTGCCCCGATTCGGCTCCTACCCGGCTCCAGCCAGGTCTGAGGTGACAGGCGGGACCAGCACTGTGGTCTCTGCACAGCCAGGGCTCCCGTCACAAGGGTTTGTTGGGATTTCAGGGTCCACCCCTTCTTTATAGAGTCCCAGCCAAGATGCGAGGGAAGTCGCCGCATCCCAGGTGCAGAGTGCCCGCAGATGGCTTATAGCTGGCTACCAGGTCCTGCGAAGACCCCCAAGGACCTGGAGCCCCGCCGTGGCTGTCACTCAGATACCCTACAACCAGAATGCAAGGCTTCCTGGGTGTGGCCTGACCCAGGGTTATGGGGCCGCAGTCCTTGGCTTCGGCCGCTCCTCTCCAGCCAACTTCTGCTCAGCCCGGTACAGCCTTCCCGGCACAGCCCTGCACACTGGCCTGACCCGAGAGCAGAGGCCCTGTCCCTGGGCGGTGCTCTCTGAGGACTGAGGCCTGGCTCAGAGCCTGGAAGCAGCATGGTCTGCACTCTGAGCAGGGCGGGGAGCTCTCCGGGGTCCTGATCACCTTCCTGCTGGAGGCTGGGCGCTGTGAGAGGAGACACCCATGAAGGGTCCTTGACATTTCTCAGGATTAAGGAATTAAGACTTCATTTAGATGGGAAAAAACAAATTCAGTGCTTTCCAGATGGTAAAATGCCAGGTTCTGCCACTGGCTGCCAGGT